CTTTAGTTTTATGTTCGTATATATTGATGATATTCTAATCGCCTCAAAGAACATGAAGGAGCATCTCAAACACCTGGAAATATTTTCAGATGTTTGCCACAAGGAAGGATTGGTGCTTTCAGAAAAGAAGGCAGTAATCGCTAAGAGACATATTGAATTCCTTGGAATCAAGATTGATGAATCGGGAATCATTTTGCAAAACCATATTGTTGAAAAAATACAAGGATTCCCAGATGTCCTCAAAGATAAGAAACAATTACAAAGCTTTCTCGGAGTTGTTAATTTTGCAGGAATGTTCATAAACAATTTGGCACAATACCGAAAAGTTTTCAGTCAGCTCCTGAAGAAAGACGCAGATTTTAGATGGACAAACGAACACGAGGAAGGAATTAAACAGTTAAAGAAAGTTTGCCAAAAACTTCCAAAGCTGGCAATCCCAAATGACGAGGATGGGCTAGTTCTCTATACAGATGCTAGCGATCATTGGTGGGCAGCGGTTCTCACCAAAGCCACTCCGAATGGAGAAGTTCCATGTCGATATTGCAGCGGACTCTTTACAACCAGTGAAGCTAACCGATGGCATATTAACGAAAAGGAATTCTTTGCAGTCAGAAAGTCATTCAAAAAATGGCCTTTGTTTTTGTTATCAAAAAAGTTTACTTTAAAAATTGATAACTCGAGTGTTAAGGCTTTTCTGAAAAACAAAATTGAATCAAAACCAGAAAAGTCTAGATTATTACGATGGCAAGCTGAATGTCAATATTATGATTATGATATTGTCATTATTAAATCTCATGAAAATGTTCTTGCAGATTTCTTGACAAGAGATGGATGTATCTGAAGCAGATTCACTCCTCAAAAGGATAAGACACCTTCGCGAAAACATCGAGGAGGTGGACAAAAGTTTTGGCCAGTTAAGGCTTAATGCCATAATAGCTGGACAAGTTCAAAAGGCTGACTTAGATAAGGTCGAATCAGCAATCAAAGGTACAAGGATGGCTAACACCTTATTATGGGATGCCTTCCAAGAACCTTTACGCAAAGCCGGATCACCATCGGTGAGCCATAAAGAATTCCGAGAGCAAGAGGTTTCAAAGAAAACTCAAAATGAGTACCAGAAACCTATACCTGGTGCAGCGGACGCTGCTTACGAAAGTATTTCTTCAGATTCTGGAGAAAAGAAAGAGACACAAGACCAAAGGTCTAAATTCTCGAGTCAACCCGACACCTCTGGGGTAAAAGAGGAAGAGATCAACCTACGGCCACAGACAAGTCGAGAAAAGGTTGATACTAACAAAAACATTGGTTCTCCTACTTCTTTTCAGGTTTACAATTCACTGATGGAGGACTTGATTACGAAAAGAAATATTAAGCCAGAAAAGTTTATTGTTGACGATACTGGTTTATATCCCCGAGTTTGGATACTGGAAGGAGCTCGACCAGACCCTGTAAGAAAATGGATGGACTTTGGTTCAATAGCTTCAATTTTTACTGAGGCGCCGAATTTTTCTGAGATTTCAGGATTACCCGAATGGATTACTAAAGCCGTATATGAATCGTGGTCTTATAATCCTCATCTGAAAAGAGGAGAAGTTTTGGAGCTAAAATTTATCTCTATTGCACCAGAACCTGCAAGTGATTATGGAAGGCATGCCGCCTTTCATTTCATTAAGTTGCAACGCCCCAACAAAAAGGCGCTACTTCATATCGGTACTACCAAGGAAACGCCTTTGTACACAACAATGATGGAGGACGAGATTTCCACCCGACGAGCCTACGGAGTGTGGGTATGTCTTACCGAAATGGAAAAGGTAAAATATCCGTTTAAAATATATCAAAATTCACCAAACGGATCATTTTTACTTAATTCCTTGACGGGAAGCACCTCCAAGTTTGCAAACGACTTGTTCGAGAATAAAAGAAAATTCTTATGGGAAAATAAGTTGGCAGCCACAGAGAATACACGAAGAAAGGCGTGTAACATGTTGCACGGTCTTAGATGGCACGAAAATATTTGTCCATGTTGTGCAATTCAAGAGAAGCCACTGTTCGGAAAATTATTTCCGATGAAACGGGAAAGACCCGGCCAGAAAGACAAACCGGAGAAAAAGGGAATTCCAAAAAACCGGAATTTCAAAAATTCAAAAGAAGACGAGTCTGATTAAGATTTATCAGACAGGGAGGCCCACCAGCAGATTAATGGCGGGACAAGGGAAAAAGAAAGATTCCTCCACCAAAGGAAAAGACAAGTTTTTCCGAGTCAGCTCCACATACGCCATGTGACCGACAGAGGAAAGTGGGTTCAATAATTCTCCAAACCGGACCCATCAACATGTGAAGACCACAAGGCATTTACCTACCGGTTGGTACAAGCAATAATAGAGGACTCCAAGACCTCTATAAATACAAGATTTGGAGGAAACAGAAGACATCGAACATCCTCTTCAGTTTTCTCATCAAAATAAAATTCTCTGTAATAATAGTGTGTGAGCTTGTGTGTCTTTTAATTTTCTTTGTAATTTTTATGTGTGTACAAGTGTTTGCCTCTATTATGAGAGGCTAAAAGGTTTTCTCCTCCCTTAAGGAGATTACTTATGTAATAAAATCACTTTGAGTTCTTAATAAAAAAGAGGCTTTTGCTTCACAACATGTTGTCGTAATTTTCATCTATCTCTATAATTAAGTATCTGTACGCCTGGAGTAGGAAACGAACCAAGGCTGTGCTGAGTGGTATCTGAAGGAGTCGGATAACTTGTAGTTCATCTTCCCATTGGTGAAGTTAGACG